TTTTCTCATTGTTTCTTCTCAAAGTAGAGCCTGCCTGCTCTCATGCACGCTGGCCTTCATCTTTTTTTAATAACGAACCCTGAGTAACGTTTTCGTATAGGCAGCATTTCGGGGATGAAGTTAAGAGGTGTGAGACCAGGGCAGTTACAAGAGAGCTGCTGAGGTGGATGCATCAAATCGAGTCTCAGGACGGCAGTGGGATAGGATATCTTGCAGGAAGGAATTTCCACGTGGGGTAGACGTGATCTAGTCGCGAAGACGAGACTGCCATCAGCTGACCAAGTAGTAAGGATCAGGCAATAGGTCTCCGCCGAGCGTGGGACGTGAAACACCAACTGTGAGGATGACCTAAGACAAAAAATATTCCGGAACGATTTTTTCAAAGAACTGGGAACTAATGGTCACAGTAAAAAAAAATGGAGTTGGTCGGGGCTGCCGCCAGGGACGGTTGGCTGGTGTATAGAAGGCGTGACATCATCGAGTTAAGCGCCAGTGCCAAAGAGGAGACCTATTAATTCTCTTGAATCCGACGTAAAGCGCGCGACCAGTTTTATGGGTGCCAGTGACTGCAGATTGTGCGTTGACCTGATTATTAACTGCGCTTGCAGGCGAGAGAGCACGAGGAAACGTAACGAGTTATAGTGTCAAATGTGGTGTGATACCAATAAGCGATGGTTGTGACGCAACCATATGAGGAGGGGGGGGGCATTTTGACCTACTGGAGAGGATCAAGGCGAACTTTGATCGGATGAAGGGTCAGCGATTTGTACGTGCAATGCTAGGTAATAAAGATATTCGCAACCAGAAAAGTAGATAATGGGATGCTGCAGGCAGCCTTTTAAAATCTGTTACCTCACGTACGCTAGTTTTCATCTATTTTTTATAATCAACATCGATTGACTTCCTTGTAGAGAACCTTCTGTTGGAACCAGATGGCCCTTGTTTTTGCCCTACAGACATGCACGTTCTTGAAGGCCCCGAAATTTATGTATATCCGTCCTAAGTTAAAACTTGCCGCACTGTATACGCACACTAAAAAGCGCTCATCGTTGACCTAAGTGCCCCCCCCCCCGTCATTGGATCCGACGATGACCTCTACACCGACAGAGCAGCTGTGACCTGCCCATGGATTTTATATTCGGTATGGAGACCGATGAAGCATCCACCTCGCATTAGTAGGAGGACCGTAAAGGCAACATCAGTAAGAAGACCTTGCAACCTGGTGCTGAGCCCCGAGTGAGGTTTCGGACATATTTCATGAGGTTTCTTGGGAATTTGGAATACGGGCGGGTCCCCAACAGCCGCTCGGATTGTTTGCTCGAGATTGTCTCCTCTAGCGCTTTGGCTTCAAAGCCTAACCACAAGGTAGCGGTGGCAAACAAACTTATTTGATGGCGGTTTACGGTCGTCATGTCACAATGCCGTCATTGGGCTTGACTATGCCGATGATATCGCCTTACTTGCTTCAAGTTTTGGTGATCTGCAGTCTATGGTGTCACGGGTAAACGAGGTCGCAAAATCGGTTATTTTATCCCTAAACGCTGGGAAGACCAAAGTGTTCTCAAGCTGCATCCCTAACCAGGAGAAGGCACCCCTCGGGATTGGTGGCTGTCAACTTGAAGAGGTAGGCAGTTTTAAATACCTCGGGGCGAGGCTGCTGCCTAATGGACAGAGTAAGGATGACATTGTCTCCCGAATTGATGCTGCCCGCTGGGTTTTCTCAAGCCGTCGAAAATGCCTATGGATCCCAGATGACCTCTCCATCGCCACCAAGATTCGCGTGTACCGTGCATCTGTCCAGTCTGTTCTTCTCTACGGTTGTGAATGCTGGGCTTTGCGCGTGAAGGATGAGCGAAAACTGGAGGCATTTGACCACCACTGCTTGAGGACCATCCTTCGAGTGAAGTCCACCGACTTCGTCTCAAATGAGACAGTCCGCGCTCGCTGCGACAACATCGCAAGGGTAACCCAGGCCATCCAAGAAGGACGACTGAAGTGGTTCGAGCATGTTCTTCGTCGTCCACCTCAACAGCTCAGTGTTACAGCCCTCGGTCCGGAACCGTTACCCCGTGGAAGGCGTCGAAGAGGGGGTCGGTTCGAAACCTGGCTCGACACAGTTCGTCAAGACATGGAGGTGGTTCTTGGACCTTCGATATTCGGTCCCCGTTGTTGGCGAAGGGAGTGGGTTGAGCTGTCCAGATCTGCTGCCGCGGATCGTCACGCGCGGAGAGGTAGGGCTCGTGACATCATCAAGGCCGCCTAGATCAGGCATGATCGCAGCCGTATCAAGTACAAGTAAGAGCCTCGAGTAGGGTCGGTTTATCGCGTCAATTGGTATCCTTTCAAGCCGTGGCTGTTAGTGCTTCTTGACAGCTTCAAAGCTCGTTTTATTGTTTTAGAGTAAGAAACTGAACATTAAGTGGGAGATGAGTCGACAGCACTCCTCTTCTGACTCAGGTTCCTGTGGCCTCTCCCCATCAAATTGATTGGGGGATGAGATTGAGCACAATGATGGCTGACTTGACGTAAAGCCGCCAACCCACGTGTCCCACGTCCGTGCTTCAAATGACGACAGCCGAGAACCTCCAATGTTCGCCAACCTTCTAAGCCCTTGTGATGATATCGCAGTGGCTCTGTTTGGTTGAAATAATTTGTACTAAGGCTATTTGAAAAAGCCTACTCGCGGAGAACTGCCTTCTATCGACCAGAAATTCCGCTCGGGGTGTGGGTTTTTTCGGTGCTTATAAATAAAGTGACATATTCAGCTGTCCCCATTCACCAGCAGATCACTACCGCTACCATATTGGTCGGCCAGTCAGCGTTTTAATATGATCTTAACACCATTAAAACCGCCTACGGCATTATTTATCATGTCAAATGTATGCTTGGAGAAATCCAGATCCTCAATTATGCTATAGTCTGTTTATGAATCTAAGAGAAGACACGCATTCCAGAAGCGTCCCCAGTTAAAGTTGCGGAAGAAGTATTGATCACTGGGAATAATAATTTATTTGCCTGGGCCTTTGAATGATCTCTTGAAATCCTAGTTAGGGATGCGCAGAAATCAGCGTAAGGCAGTTTAATTTGTGAACTGGCGAATCCGATCCGCCTCTCCCCCTTTTCACAGGGCTGTATCAATCATGTCGACAGTCACAATAATAAGGCTGTGTTGTTGTCCCCTTCCAGTGGAAACTGTATTTTTCCCGCGACCCAAAACACTCATCTCTTTGCGTCGTCATCTGTGAAGTTGGTGGGCCTATGCTATTCATCACGATAGGTGACTCAGACTTTGCTGACTCGACATTAGGAAATGTGGACAACACAAGAGGCGCCTGTAAGCAGCAGGTGCGCAATTTGCGTCACAATATAGAAAATTAAATGAGCCGGCGATTAAAACGAAGGGTTAAAATTACAATTAATCACCAGGAGAGCCACCGGATCTTGGCAATTGTCGAGGACAGCGGGAAGAACGGTCCTTGGTGCATCTTTTTGAGTACAAGTTAATATCGCTGCTGTATGGCAAGGGAGTTAACTTACTTCGACGATATCTGTTGAATTGTCCGAGTTTCCTATTTGAAGCAATCATTCTCTTGTTATGCTCTGTAATGATTTGCGGTAAATGCATATCGTTAGAGGCAGCATCTATCTCACGTTCGGACTTCCGCCCATTTTCGTCTTTTCAGGAGTTCTCTTGGAGCGAAGACGGTTGCATGCTGGTCGACCGTCTTGCCTCTGATCTAGGCTCCATGTTAGACGATGAATTCTGCAATGCCTACGAACTCACCTACAACACGTGAGTTCTGACCCCCTGTGTCTGTCCTAAGCCTTCCTCCGTCATCCCCCTGACCAGCACTCTGATTATGGGTCATCTTTCCTTGTAGTCTAAACACTCTTACCAATGTGGACACAGCGCCATATCGTCACGCAGTGTGGAATTTCGTCCAGAGCCTCTTCGGCATCTGCCACGAAGACGTGCGTTTCGATAAGCTGAACAGTTTCTTCAGGGAGCCACAAAGGGCCTTTTTGAAGGCCTGCTGTACACGGCCTGCCGATTTATGCCAGCTCATGCCCCATGTAGTACGTGAACTGATGCCAGCCCTGAGTCCCAGTGAAATCGTAAGTGCAATTTCTGCCCTACTTTTTTTTATCCTTCACATGTCCGCCCGAGTCTATCTCCTGGGTTGCCTCGACTTCCTCGTTTGGGCGCAAGTGCTGACCCTTATCAAAAAAATAGTTCACTGTGTGGAATCACGTTCACAAATACAAATCATGCTGACCTTACTATCCTTTACTCGTATTGCGCACATCCGACTACAGATTTACCCGTGTGGCTGTGAGCTGCTGGCTTTAGGTTTACCTACCAGTGATTCGATTTCAGAGCAAAATGTAGACGTCTCATTGTTGTCTTGGAATTACGGTCTGGAGCCTCCACAGACGATGCATGCTGACAAGTAATCAGCCTTCAAGAAAAGTAAGACTTCAGTTGTCAGTTCTGGTATATTTGTAATCTCGCCTTTTCTCGACCATTCATGGAAGTTCACCCGTAATCTTTTGGATAGGCGCCTACTCGTGCGACCATTATAGCCTTCTTCGCCGGAGCAAGTAAAGGAGGAAATGCAAATGGGGGTGGTCTGAGCCGGCAAGCGATCCTTCTCCGTGTAAAACGGGGTTGATCGAGAACAATACGCGAACAATTGCCGCGGAGAAGATTCGCAAACCAACCTGATCAAGAATTCATCTAAGGAGTTTTCATATTGCGTCCACTTGAAAATAATTTTGCGGGACAGAGATTTGCTCTCCACCGTCATTGTGGTGGGTTTTTTGGGTCTCTCTGTAATACTCTTCGCAATAAATTTGTCGGGATACTCGTTCACGCGAAGCAGGTCCTAGATCTTTCCCTGTTTCTCGCCAATGCTGTCTGCCGAACAAATTTTTCTGGCCATTTGCGCCAAGCAACGGACTAGATTGCGTTTTTGCAATCGTTAGCCAGTCATTCTGGAACCCGTGCTAAGTAGACCAGTGGTTTCATCCTGAGTACAACTTTGATGCAGGTGGCAGACGCTTTTGGGCCAAAATTCGGCAAACATGCCCATCGCAGTGTTAATCTGTATGACCACTTTTCTCATGTACATGCAACTGTAGGCAGGATGTTCTCGAATAACACCATTGTCAGGTTTTTGAGTCTTCACATACCGCCGGTCTTGGAACCAATTTCCTGCATTATTTCTGCAGATGGTTTTCTTCTGTCACTACTTCGGTCGCTTATCCTCTGGTTAAGATCATCATGCCCCATTTTCTATATTTCTAAGAGGGATACGTTTTGAGGGTCCTCTTAGACGTCTACGTGCCTGTTTGCTTTTTAGTAATTTACTTTATTTCCTACTTTGCAGGTACACGTCTTGGTGATGGTCATGGAAGCCAGACAACAGGCCAGTCTGATGTACGCCCTACGGGCTATTTCTCAAAGCCAGACAAGACGTGTGTGATCATTTCCGCCCCGCCCCACATTCTCTTCCACTTTTTTTGCTCAGTTGTCTGTTTTTTCCGACCATCCTCTTCACACACGAGACTCCTTCCCGTGTCCCTCTGCCATGTTCGTGTGTTGTTGTGCATGTGTGTGTGTGTGTGTGCGTGCGTGCGTGCAAACCTAGCGGTCTGTTAGAATTACGGATACAGCGACTGGACATCAGGGCTACCAAGACTAGCACCAGGCGTACAATGAAGATCTCCTGTCATCCGGCCCTCCCCATCTCTCTCTCAGGAATCCGCTCCCTTCGTAACAATCATATTCATCTGTAATTTTCAGTTTAAATTAGTAATATTGCTAAAGGTGTTGACGCAAGCGAAAACTCTTCCTGAACTTACCCCGTTCTCTCCTCCCTCTCCTTGCTGCGCATTTTAATCTTCCGACCTTTCTGAAAAGTAATCATCTGCGAGAAACGTGTCCCGCATTTCACAGATACACACGCACACACACATGTAAGCTCGCGTGCGGCCATGCCTCTCCCGGATAGGTGCTCTTCTCTCTTGGGTTCATTTCCCCTGAATGTTCCAGCTTTATGGGTGCCTCTTTACACTCCAGTTAGTCTTGACCTCTTGCCGCTTCCACTTTCTACTTTCTTTTAACTTCCCCCCCTCCCACCTACGAAACTTCTTCCCTCCCGTTGGCTCACACGCATCATTCAGCAACCACTGTTCCTTGCCTTCTCATTAATGTTGGTCCTCTTGCGCTGTCTCTCACGCAACCACTGTGCTTTTATATCTTTGGCTCGCTTGCTGATTTAAGTCCGAATGCACATATATATATACATATATGTGTGTGCGTGTGAAACTCCCACAAAAATATATTCTTGTACCTCTATGGGGTTGATAGCCTTTTCAGAGTACTTGCTTCTTGTCCTCAGTCTCTCGGGTGCAATGTGTGCTCGAAAGTCGTGTTCAGTCCTTGGTACTTTATCAGACAAATCGTTTGCTTGGATTTGTCTCAACCTACGTACAATGTCATTATTTTACACGAGACCGCACTGAGTGTGCAGCATGAATAGAAAGTCTCAGTAAGGGGCCATCGCTTCCTACCTTCAAGACCTAATAGTTGATTCTGACTCCAGACCTCTGCCCTTTCGCATGATATTATTTTAAGAGCAAAGATATGGTAGAAAAGGATCGTTCGAGGAAAATAGGTTTCCATTTTCAGTTTAGTGCACGAAACTTCGGCGGTAAATCTTTTATGATGTGTTTTACGAAGGCAAGCGTTTCGGACCAGTAAACATGCAGTACAAACCATACTTGTGCCTTTACGTTTAGCTTAGATTCGGGTTTTGCCTATTGCAGAGGGCCATTAGAAACTACGCGATGCACTACCAGCACCGATTCGGGGTCCAGACGCTCCGGTTCATCTTATCACTTTAGATTGTGCCTACTGATTTCGATTAGGTAGATAATCAATTTTCCTATTAATTTCTGGAACGACAGACAGGCAGTCCTGTGTTGGGAATGCGCTCACCAATCGGTGTACTTGACATGCCCGTCCCCTGACTTGGAGCTCAATGTAAGCTCTCACAGGGGTCACACAGCCACCAGTAATGCATGCTGAATGAAGTACCGAGGAGTAGTCCGCCCTGTGAGGGTTTTATTCGTTAGAATGCAGGGAAGTCCATGATGGCCTACTCCGGCCCTCGTCCCGTACTCGAAGTTTCTGACGGCCGTTTCCCTTCACAAGCAAAGGCCACCAGCCGTCGAAAGGTGGCTGACCAACACCATTTCGAGGATAGCTTTTTGACATGGGGACTAGGCAAGTCTTAACTAGACACGTTAAGGACTTAGAACGGGAACCTCCGAACGACGGGGAGCTAGCGGGTGGCAGAGGCGATTCAAAGTTAAAGGAGAATTACGACAGATTGGCGGTCGCCGATCATGCTGTGCAATTTGCTCGTCCCGTTATGCCTTGAGGCTCATACTAGAATCCTCGCAGGCAGACGCACAGCGACTAGTAGTAGTGGGGTTGGGTATGACGTCTAAAAAGCCAGAAATGGCCGTTCCGGTATCCCTTGTCTTTGTCGGTAACACCTCATAAAGGAGAATCTCCAAAAACGAGCGTGGAGGCCGTCCTGCTTTAAATCGTTCCACGTAATACAATTACGGAGACTATACTACGCGCCACAAATGGATACCTGTTTCGGAATCAGTGAGGTGTTCTTCAACCTTGCCGAAAGCAGGGTCAGAGGAAGAGGCGTAGGAATTACTGCTTTAGGATCATCCAGGAGGAGCCATCCTGCCAGAGTTCGGTAAGACATTTCGACCTTCGTGACTGACGATGTCCACCGTGTGCTCCGCAGCAGGGTGACAGCAGGCACGTTGGCTTGCGCGGGATTTCTTTTATAGCGAAAGTTGACTTACGCCGTAGCTACCCCGCTCTCTCCTCCGCCCCCCCCCCCCACCCGGGCCTGACGTCAAGACTGGGGGTGGGAGAGGGCACAGGTGGCTGGCGCGGCCGGAACCGCATCTAGGTGCACCGCCGCACCCCCTGGTCCCCAACGACCACTTTACCAGGATTCTAAGCAATAAAATCAAGAGTGACGGCTAGCGCGGTCGGAGCTCCTGCTAGGCGTGGCACCACACCCGGATCGGACCCCACTACGCTGGAGTACCATAAAGGCCACATCAAGAAGGAAACATTGCAGCCTGACCCTCAGACCTCCCGTCGGCCATTCTACACAAGTCCACACTGAACCGGCTACGAGGTACAAGTTTCCCGCCAGTTGACAACCTTCCCAGCCATGGCTTTTGGCTCACAGTGATAGCCTCAAGCGCGACAGAATTTTTATAGTGAGGAAGACGCTCTAAGTCCTCGACCTCCTTCTGTATTCCAATCCTCAGGCCCCAGCCGCTGTCCGAGCCGGTCAGTTGTCTGGTGCGGGGAATGGACGCAGCGCCTGACTGCAAGTAGCCTCTTCTGTGCCCGCCACATGCACGACCTCCCCCTCCCCTCCAAACAAAAGCACCAGGATTTCCTTCAACAGGGATTGGGCGGCATATATCTCACATGCATGAGGGTGCCAGAGGTCACGTCACGCTAAGAAACCGCCCAGCCTGACTTTCTGTCCATCAGTCTGCCACTTCACCCAAATGGGCCGACTGCGTGGACTGAGTTGAAGCGTCAGTCAGCGACCTTCCAAGCCACGGCGCCCAGCGCAGCGTGAGAGTTTCTGACTTCAATCACACATGCAGCAGAATATTCACATGGAGAAGGAGCCATGAAGAACACTTCCCAATTAATTGAGAGGCATCGATTGAGTACTTGCGTTGTACAGTAGTGGGTGGTGTTGTATGGTGCAGGTGCTGGTGGGGAAAGGTGTGGTGGTGTGGTATAGCCAACGTTCGTCTACCGCAGGTTTTCGTGAATGCGCATGTGGCTTAGTAGGCCCTTGCGATGTCTGAATGTGCGAGAGCAATGCGGGCAGTTGTGTCGAGTGCGTCTGGTGTTGTCGGCGCTCCCGGGACTGGTTTAGCAGTCTCCATGCGATGGATTCACAGGTGACCGACCAGGCCGATGTGTGAAGCGAATGTACGCGGACAGTGTGGGCAGGATAGATCGGCAGTGTCAGAGTCAATTTCGGAGAAGGCGGTGGTGGTGGACGCACTGGACGATGGGGTATGGATTGAGCTAGGCATGGTTGGTGCACAAGGTGTGCTAGGTGTGACGATACTGCTATGAATTCCGCTTTCTTGGATGCGCATTTGACCGTGTAGGTCCATACGATGAGTGTATGTGCGGGGGTAATGAGGGCAGTGGACGAGGATTCGGCGAGTGTAGGTTAGTGCTCCAGGCACTGGTTCGTCAGTCTTTGTACGATGGATTCGCTAGTGATCAAGCAGGCCGATGTGTCAGGTGAAGGTGCGATCGCAATGAGGAGAGACGGGGACTGAGTCCACGTCGCTGGAGATGGGAGATCCTAGTGGTGATGACGAGACGTCGGACGTCGTCCCTTCGGTGGATGGAGTGTGCAATGTGGTGTTCTTGGCGGAGTTGGTAGATGTGGTCGAGGCAGGGGTTGGGGCAGGACGGATGGTGTTGGTGGCTGGTGGCGGTGAGGCACTGGCGGCCTGATTACAGGTTACGGGGATGGTCGTCGTTGCGGAGTTTGCGACATAGGTCGACATTGCCGGGCTGTTGGGGTATTTCTTCCGAAGGTATCTTGTGAGGCCGATTCGCGCGCAGAATGTGCGTTTTCAGCGTCGATATGTTGTGGAAATGGCTGGCTGCTGGTACTGAGAAGTCGAGCCCCTTGTGACTTGCGAGCCTCCCTACTGGTTTTGGCGGTAGCGATCCGGTTTGCTTCGTAGGTGGCTGCGCAACCTTAAGTTCTCTTCTCTAGGCCCGCCTGTTCTAGGCGAGATTCTCTCAGGTCTCTGCGTTGATATGCTTTCGCTTGGAAGAATTCTTAAAAATGTCTTTGTGTCGTCGTTGTAGTTCTGCCGGTCGGCGACCTCCCGTGGCGACATCCCCGGATAAGAGTTGTCTTGATAAGCGAGCGTCGCCTATTCTCACCAGATGGCTGCTCCACTGCAATTGCAATTGTCTCATCATAGCGAGGATGCTGAGGATTCCAGTCCATTACAGGACTTCTGCGTCTGGGATCCTGTCCTGCCATCTCAGCTGTAGGCATCTGAGATGGAAGTGGTTGAGCTTCCAGGCATGACTAGGGCAGGCGGTTCAGGTCCCCACTCCGCACTGGAGTGTCGTCAGGACGACAGCCTTATATATCTTCAATTTGGTGTTCAGTTGTAGTTCGTGACGATTCTACGCGGAGTCCTGCAGCCTGGCTTTCTAGACCTGGTGGGCCACTTCATCTTCGATGTTCGTGCTGTGCGAAAATGTGCTTCCTCGATAGGCGAAAAGGTGTGTGGAGCGGAGCGCCAAAGTGCGGACTCGGCAGCGCCAGCCACCTGAGCTCTCCCCCATCTCCGGTCCTCTGGACTCTGTAGTGACGCCGGGTCCAGGTGGAGAAGGAGAGAGTGCAGTGGATGCCGCGCAAGGCCAACATCACAATGAAAGCAATCATGCGTAAGCCACCCTGCCTGCTTTGCCTTGGCGTGGAGCACACAGTGGACATCGTCATGCACGATGGTTGGACTGTCGTCGTCAGATAGGCGAAGAGCCCTACGGTTTGGCGTTGGTTGTCGTTGACAGTAATTCGAGGAGAGCGCTGGGTGGCGGCTGGTGCATAACTACCTTTTTGTTCGCATTGATTATCAGTCCGGAATGAACGCAACCGGAGTCGAAGAAATCTGTGCTCCGCCACATATCTGCTTCGGTCGTAGTTTTGAGCGTGCAATCGTCGTCGAAGAGCAGATCGTGGACTGTAGTCGTAAATAGCCGCGTTCAGGCCTGTATGCACCTGCTGTTGAGAAGACGCCCGTCAGTTCCGTAGGCGATGCACCTCCCAGAAATCTCATCACGCTAGACGTCCATCAGCATAGCAGAGATGCCTCTGTGATTGTCACAGAGCTGCCTGTTCCCTTTGCGCATGTAGAGATGAGTGATAGTCGCGTCCTTGAAGTGCTGCTGCACCTGTCCGCAGCGCCACATATCTTGCAAGAGCGCCGTCAGATGATCCATCAGCCAGCGGTCGCGTGCTTGTAAATTCCAGCTGAGATCGCATCGGATCCTGGTACTTTCCCGCTGGTGAGTTTTTGCATGGTGCGGATGGTTTCTCGGAGGGAGGGAGGTCCAGGTCGATGTTGATTTCCACTTGGCGAGCCGGTCGTCGGAGAATGTGGAGGGACGGCTGAGGACGCATCTGAAGTACTCGACCCAGCATTTCAGACTCTGCCTTGTTTAATTTCCGAAGAAATTAGTGCGCGAACTTGGAGTAAATCTTTCGAAACGGGCCTTTTCAGGCATGCTCCAAATTTTGATATGAATATTTGAGCTGAAATCCATCAGCTACTGCGGAATAACCGCTTAATATTCACAAACCGCCAACAGGCAGCCAGTAGTATAGAACTGGGCAATGAGTTACCGTACTAACAACACAGGTATTAGCTAAAAGCCCAGACACGCGTGTTTCGCCGATCTTATGCTGCTGCCTGACGCAGCTGCGAAGGGTTCGGCTCGTCAGTGGGTCCCCAAGCTTTCCCCGTGTGTTTTCTGGTATATGAACTCCAGTTCCAACTTGCCTTTTTTAATTTCCGAGGAAATTAATGCTCGAACTTCGAGTAAATCTTTCGAAACGGGCTTTTTCAGACTCTGCCACTTCGCTGTCAAAAGCGTCGAGCCATCATAGCTGAGAAGCGACGTGGTGCCTTTAGTTGGGCGACCGTATATCACCTCGATTGGAACGAAGTTTTTCGTTTCATCGCGGCCGACATCTCTTAATCTCCTCGGCCTTGCGAACTATCCAGGCGTCCTGCATTTCCCGCCATCATCACTGAGCAAGGCGGTCACATTGTTAGAAAACCGCCTTGTATGCATCGCACGGGCGGCCATCGTAGGCTCTATGCGGGCCGTTTTTTTCGGCGAGCAGACTGTTGATGGCCGCGACGTTGTCGTCGAACTTGACCAGGTGTTGATGGTGTGCGCGGCTGAGGAATGGACGGCGTCCGCAGTTGGCACCATCGAGTCTTTATGGTGGCGTTGACGTCCGGGGTTGGCAGGTGTTGAGCTTACTGATTGTCAAAATATAAACGATGAGCAGGCAAATTAAACAGAACAGTATTCAGCTTACCTGTGGTTTGCTTACCTTGTGGCCTCCTGCGGGATTGCAGACGAAGATGACGAGAGACGCTGGTCCTGTCGAAGTAGGTATGGTCGGCAACAAGAAGGTTACCGAATTAGAAGTCAATGAAGACAGATCGGTTTTGACTAGCTTTTTACTGTTGAAAGGGCGTACAAAAGGTTCTGCAAGTAGTCGCTACAAGCAGTCCTTGCCGGTGTGTTGTGTGCCTTTTATTCCGTGTAAAAGTCGCGTCCGCAAGGGCGGTGTCCGTGTGTCCATTAGTCGTTGCCGCCATCAATCCATTGTGTCCACATGTAACAAACCAGCAAAGAAGCTGTATTGATTGGCGTCAAGCCCACGCTAGGGAAATGAGAAGCCTCGCATGCTCCAGGCAGTGATCGATCAGGAGCGTAATGCGGACAGAAAACCGGCGATACAAATTGGCGAGTAAGAGCGCAGACAGCCACAACCCGTCCAGCCCTCGACGTCGCGATCGCCTCGGTCACTATTAAGTCCTGTCCATCTCACCTCCGGACGAGTCCGTAGTCCAGTAACTGCCAGCGCCGCGATCGGAGCGCATTCACGTGGACTTATTCCACATCGGCAGGCAGAAAAATGCGTTGATCAGCTGGAGGCAATGGTCTGTGCAGGTTCACAGGACAAGGAGGCCATTGTCGTTGCGGCCCCCGATCCCCTGAGGGCTCAGCGCTCCCCTCCAGACAGCACATTCTCTCCCGACTCGGACTTTGAAGTCACCAAGGGCAACCAGCCTGTCCGCATTCAGCACAGACGCTAGGAGGGCGTGCAGATCTTCGTATAGCTTTGTGCTTGTCTCCTCTGGGCCGGTCATTGGTGGGGCGTAGGCGCTGATGATGTTGGCGAAGTTGGATCCCCAAAGAGGCAGACGCAGGCTCATCAGTCGGTCGTTGATGTTCTGCGGTATACAGAGCAGTCGTCCCATGTTGTCGTTCCGGATTGCAGGGACAACACCGCGTATCGTCGATCTGCCTTTGGGCGGTCGCTCCAGAAGGTGTAGCCGGAGCCCACCTCCTCCAATTGACCTTCTTCGGGAAAACTGGACTCGCTGAGAGCAGTGATGTCAATCATGTAGCGGGCCAGTTCTCGGAGCAACTAAAACTGTCCTCCGTTACGACCGGTTGCTCCTTGCATTATCTCAAAGGGGAACGAACATTTCGGGCTGCCATAGTGAGCGGACTCACGCTAGCAGTCTGTGGGGTGAGGCGGGGGAAGGAGAGAGAGGTTCTTGTTGTTTTGTTGTCTCGACCATGTGTTCTGCATCTGGGAGCCAAGGTCCGCGCGCAGAGGACATGATCCTAGCATTTGTTTGGGGCACCATTTTTAGACCCTTCCTCCACAAGGAGGTAGGCAGTGCAATCCTTACATAGGGTTGTTTAGACATCCCAGACGACTGTCGAACTCCATTTTTGATCACGACTTTATTTAGTGCGGAACGACTCGAGTTGGCCCAGGCCGCTTACGGGACTGCATGTCGCCCTCTCCATAGGACTTTATGAAGTGAGGGTGTGGAGATGACGGGGAGGACCGGGGATGGCGGAGGAAGTGGGGGGGGATGTGGAAGAGGGGGATGGCGAACAGAGAGAGGGAACAAGGTGAGAATGGGAGGCTGGGATGGAAAATCGAGTTTTCAGTGTGGGGGACACACAACACTGGGTACCCTTACCGGGCTTAGCCCGCCGGTCGGGGCGGTTACCGGGGTGTACCGCTTAACGGGGTCCCACCTCGGGGAGTCACATGTGAGAGTTGAGTGCCAATTAGTGGACGTTAGGCGTAGCTAACACCTACAAGTAAGAGAAGCCAACTCCTTCGACCTTCACGTGGACCCAAACCTGGACACCCCAACACCCCAGTTAATACACCCCATTTTAATACAGAACAGTCGCAAATATCCGTCTTATTACGCCCCTACCCTTTCTGGTGGCTTTCCCTCGCGGCCATGATTTTCGATGATAGGAACCTAAGTAGTTAGTGAGCCTGCACCCCGAAACGCCCAGCCTTAGTTCTACCCTCAGCAGTGAAATTCAGTCGGAGACCAGGAGTGGGAGTATTTTTGGTCCAAAACCTGACCGCTTCTTCGGAATGTGTTATGAGAACCTACCATTTACTTCAGTCTGCGCGCTCTATGCGAGTTGTTTCTGACATATGATGCTAGGAGGATCTGGTTGCACAGTGTCAAGGTCTTCTTTATCGTTTCCTGTGTCCTGGTGGTTTTGTCGCCGCCTTCGGACGGGAGCACTCACGCGGTATTTTGGCTGCTGTGTGCACCATCGAGCTTGCTCTGGAGGGGGATGCGGGCGGCACGCACAGCAGAAGCAGTTTTACGAGATTAAAAGGTCAAAAATGAACTAACTTCAGCTGAGGTATTCGGAACCTCAACAAAGCTAATAATTCACGCTACTTGGTCGAGAAGGGTCGGTCGTTTGACTGTTATTCTACTCCGGCCGTCGACGGAATCTTCGATTCCTTCCGGGGAAAAAATCGCTATGAACGACTATGCGCTCTAATACCTGCTGTTGAAGACGTCGAAACATACTTCATGAGCTTAAGCCTAAGAGCTGTGGCTTCCAAAGAGCAATAGTGGTGTAGATTGAAGGAGTAAAATTGTCTTTAACCCACACATCGCTTAAAAAGTCGCGATTTTAAACTAGTATTACCAAAAAACAAGAGAGATTGCAATGACCGTATCTGATTTATTTGAAACCGTTAATCCAAATGCAGACTGGCAGGATCCGGAGCTCTAACCGGGGCTCTTTGGTCCTTAGACATTCAACAAAGTATTCAGCATGTGTAGGCTCCAGACCGGAACTGCGGGACCGTAAGTGTCCCATTCTACAGTCAGGAGAGATCAGTGGAGTCCCCTCCTAGATGACTTTTCTTATTCTCGAGAGTAGCCGGAACTGCCCAGTGGTAGAGCGTTTTACTCAGCTCTCTATGGATAGATTACCGGGTCCGTGTATTGGTCTTCCTGGTATGGCGTATGATCGGTCGATGCCAGCAAACAGATCAGAAATGGTTAGTCCAGTCTCTCTGATCTTCGATCGAGGACTTTAGATGGGAACCCCGAAGCGGAACGGAGCATTTTTGCGTGTTTGTAAGTTTTCATTTCGACACTCTCTTGTGTGGTATGCATTTACTGCAGCAAGGTCTTTAACAAAGACTTTTCACTGGGTCGTGCAAAGGAATGTTTGTTTGAGGCAAGCTATCGCAGTTGACGATCCCATTTATGCGGACGATATTTGACTTCTTGTAATGGAAGTTTTCAATATGCCTCTACAATTCTAGCATGCAAGTCCTCAGTTCTCAATCAAACGGGCCGACCAGGCAGGCACATGAGATGAATTTACGGCAGGTGACCATTCCTTTCTCCCGAGGACCCCTTGGACCATGGGATTGGACAATTCGCCCCCGGCCCAGAGTGTACTTTGCCAGCATAAGCATATAAAAAGCCGCTAGGGCCACCTTTTTAGTCTAGCGTTTTTGATAAATAAATGAATTATATTCTTAGCAAAACATGATCCTAGAGCGACATGCTTTTGAGAAAAGCTGCATATGGAAATTCGCACCTTTAAGTCGGTGTACGAATCGTGTGGCTACTTCGCAGTAGTGCTACGCCTGTGTTACTCGTATCTAAGCTACCATAGCTACCACCACTGTGATTTTTATTTCCAGAATTTTGCGTACGGTCACCTAACTTTCCCCACCTCCCTAATACGTATAACTTAAAAGGATTTAAAGTAAATTCATGGATACGGGCGGAAAGATAACAGTAATGACTGACTCTTTGGGCCCAAAACTGGTAGTTTCGTTTATCGCATACTATTACCTACTATAGCTTCCGAAGTCGGCGTTTATGGATACACTACGCATGAATCTACCCATTGGGTTGCAAAAACTGCCTATTTGTTCTGGTGTCTCATTATTATGACCAGGTAATTTTGTGATAATAGTAGATAGGTCAACTACAGTTGCCAACGCTAATTCCGCCACCAACCCCGTTTTGACAAGGCACGTTACACTAGCTGCCTTGGAAATAATTGGCTCGGATCACTGTTTAGACATTTTGCAACAACTCACACGTTCGATTTCGTGTTTGAAATACTTAGTTCTACAAATTCGGCTGTCTCAGTGTCCTTGTAGAGGCTCCCCTCTGACCCTAACACCACGGACCGACAGCAGAAAAATCAATACTTTAGTTTTGCTCACGATTATTGGCAAAGCTTGTTGTATTAAACACTACCGGGGTAGGAAATGTCTCTGTGGTAGGGAATATGTACTCATTATGATAATGCATCCGAATTCCAGACGCCGTTGATTGGCTGAAGGCAATTGACGAAGCTACCCAACTTTGTGCACTGAGGAACCTGATGCCTGCTGGATCCCCCGACCCGGGCCGCTGCACAATGATTTTTAGGGATGAACTAAACAGTCCGCAAAGGCTGCCAAAATACGCCCGATTACATTGTCGGTAAGTGGTATTTTTACACTGATATTTGACACACCCACAGCAACAGCAAGCACTTTTCGATGGTGTATAGTGTCACTAGTAGCTCTCAGGCGATAGATATATGGAGGAAGTTAGAACTGTAAATGGAAACGACCGGTTCAGTCGTAAAACTTCAATACATCTCTTAAAAGAGGCCGGCTGTCGGGCAAACCGGAATACTTTTTTTCAAGGCAAATAATTCGTCTTGTACACTGCGAAGACTAACTTTAAGCGGAAAACAACGTCACAAGAAAAAAACCTATGGGAAAATTGCCACGAGGAGTGCACGCTTATCATCGAAAAGCACTGAACCGAATGATGGGTAAAATTTTCGAGAAAGGCTGAAAATAACATCCGAGGGCTTCCAGTAAATGTACTCGAAACTGAATGGAACTAGTTCTTTGTAAACTGCAGCAGTTTTCCTATGACTACAGGTATTATTACGGTGAAGGTGATTGTGCGTTTTGATGGTCCAACTTCTCATGTTGCAAGAACAAGGCCGCAGACGTTCACCCACAACATCAGGCGCTTAAAAACCCCATAAATCCCTCTCCTGCAGTCATGGCAGCCACAGACAGTGCCCGACTGCAAATACCCTTTGCACGCCTCACTAACGTGCGGGTCAATGTGCGAATGGCGTGCGCGAACTACTAGTGGCAACGTCCATTGGTCGTTATTAAACTGGCTACTTCATTGGCTACTGTAAAGTTAAGTACGACCAATGCCCTAGCTGCAACATCGTTGCTCCACGTGTCCCAGGTTGTTTTATTATTCGTTTGCCCTTGTCCATTGGTGCGGGAATGGCGACGGTCGGCTCCTCTCCTCACAGTTCATCCCTGAAAGAGTCTGAAAACGAAGATGACTTGCCAACCGCCGAACGAAAGGTGCTCATTTCGGTCGACGGCAGTGAAGACAGCGCCCGCGCCTTTGAGTGGTACATCGCAAACTTGCTCCGTGAGAAGGATGGCCTTATTCTGGTCCACGTTGTGGAGCCAGTGAATGCTGGAGTTAACTACGGACTTGCCACGAAACCGGCTGTCCTTACAGAGGACTTTTCCAGACATATTACTGAGTTGGTGGATAAGGGAAAAGTTTTGGGCAAGAAGTTTCTTCAGCAAGCCAAGGCCCTTGGAATTCGGGCTCGATTCGTCCTACATATAGGAGCCAAGCCAGGTGAGCATATTTGCCGTCTGTCCAAAGAACTGGCGATCGACGTCATCGTCATGGGAAGTCGGGGACTTGGCAAGATCCGACGTACTTTTCTTGGCAGCGTTAGTGACTACGTCTTACACCATGCTTCTACGCCAGTAATTATTATTCCACCCCAAAAGAAAGATTCATAAGACCTAATTTTACACCAACGCCCTTCCTGTCGGATAAGATCATACCCAAAACCTCCTCTTTCTGACATTCTGGGCCTTAAACCACTGCTCGAGACT